AGCAGTGCGCCACCGGGCCGGCCCTGGAGATGGCATTTTTGCAATAGCTTATTGGCCAAAGCAAGTCACTCAGCTACTCCTGAGTTCATCAGGGCATCTGGCAGGAGCAGTGCAGGGTAGGAAAGTGGAATACTTAGCAAACGTAATACGGTCTACCCCCAGTGACTTTATTTTGAGATTTTTATCTCTGATAAGAGAGATGCTCAAGGCTACCATTGATTCAACACCAGTCATGTACCAGACACGATGGCAAGTGCTGGGTTGTGTTTTCTTATTGAATTCTCAACACAAGTCAAATGTTCTGGGGGCCCCATGTGTTCAAATGGGGAGAGTTTCAGTCATTCCACAGACATTTATTGCATACCTCTAGAGCAAAATAATAAAAGCTATCCTGTATTGAGTGTTTACTGTGAACCAGGCATTGGAGCTAAATAGATGAGCTAAGTAGGACTGAGGTCTCTTTAAGTCCTGAGCCATCATGCCTTTCCTATCACATAGCTCATTTCCCCAGGAGAACCCTCTAGAATCACTTCTGTAGCCCTAAACATTTGTCCTCATTATATTTGTTTCTATTTTACTTTTATTACACTTGAAAATTAAATACAAATAACTTGGAAACTCTGACTTAGGGCACTGGCATTCATATTGACTGCTTTTTGTATACCAGATGGTGTGGTCTCATTTTCTAATATGTCCATTTTACAGAGAAATATTCACTGCTGCTATGTGAAAATGCTGGATTCCATTTCAAGGCCTTGTTCTGCTAGCTGATTAAACCTTTTGAGCCTCAGTTTTCTTATCCATAGGATGGGGGTGATAATTTAAAGAATGAGATGATTATTTCATTATGCAAACAGCACTTCACTATGAATATTTAGCTCATTTAAGAAATAATACTTATTATTTAAATTGCAAATAATTGAAAATAATGTTTTATATTATTTAATATAGAAAATATAAACTATTTGAACAATACTGATAATTTTAAAATTAGTGTTAAATAAAATAATATGTTAAATCACTTAGCACAGTGCCTGGCACATGGAAAGCACTCAGTAAATGGTAGCTGTTATTATTTTTTTCAATATTATTTCTTTCTAGAAGGTCTGGATGTCATTCTATCTCTAACCTGAATCTGGAGTCTGAGTACTTAACCACTAAACTTAACTGCCTGTTCACTTCTCCCTCTGGTTTGAGCAGGGCCTTGGCGTGAGTGAGGGAGGCCACCTCCTGCAGAGAATGGAGCTGGATGCTCAGCGTCAACACTTCACATCTCTTCTTTCTCATCATTATTCCTGACTGTATCCTCTCCCTGCACACACGTTTTTTTTTTTTTGAAACTTACATAGTAACCTTTTTCCCTTAAGGAAAGGATCAGAAGCCCCTCCTTTCCTCTTCCCTTGTTTATTCCTTCAACAAATATTTATTGAGCACCTACTGAGTG